CTCTCTCTCTCTCTCTCTCTCTCTCTCTCTCTCTCTCTCTCTCTCTCTCTCTCTCTCTCTCGCTCCCTCTCTCTCTTTCTCTCGTCATCTCCATCGACCTGAAAAGTCCTGCCATGCTGGGTTTGCGTAGACAGTCAGAATGTCCACACATGTACGCGATCTGTAGTCGGGATTCGCGCGGTGGCGATTACATTGGGTTCAATCGCCTCGAACGAGCAGTGTCGTGTGATCCAACAGGGATTTCCCTCCATGAGTCCAATGTGTGATAGGGAGTCTATGACGTTTGGGGCCATTTGATCGTGACGTTTGATTGGGCCGTGTGATGAAGGCGGAGATCGTCTCTATGTCGCTCTCTCTCTCTCTCGCTATCTCTTTATCTCTCTTTCTGTCTTTTATCTCGTTCGTTTCACTGCGCTTGTCTGTGTCGTTCGCACAAAGTTTGCGAACGTAACTGACAAGCGCAGACAAACGAACGAGACAGAACCAACAGCGTCGTGTTCCACCACCATCGTCGTCAGTTTTCTATCAGTGCCTCTATGTCGTTCGTCTTTTCTGTCGGCCTGCTTTCGCGAATCTAGTTCCATTGGCGACCATTCGCCCCGATCAGATGGCACACTCATACGTCCACGTGGCAGGTCCTAAACAAGCGTGGGCTCGGTGATGGATGCGGGGCTCTATGGGGCAACAAAATGTTGTTGAATAGAGCCCCGCACCTATCAGCGTGGCCACGCATGATCACGACTTGACACGTGGACGTGTGTGCCGTCGTGTTCAACTACCATCTTCATCCCCGTCATTAGTTTGTCTTCAGCGCCTCTATTTCGTTCGTCTTATGCGTTGGCCTGTTTCTTTCGCGAATGTACTTCGGGTGCGCTTGCGGATCTCATTCCATTGGCGACCACTCGCCCCGATCAGATGGCACAGTCAAACGTCCACGTGTCAGTTCCTGAACAAGCGTGTGCACGCTGATGGATGCGAGGCTCTATGCGGCAGCAGAAAGGATGCTAGGCTGCAAAATAGCCCCGCACCCATCAGCGTGGTCACGCATGTTCAGGACATGACATGCGGACGTGTGAGTGTGCCATCTGATCGGGGCGAGATGAAGGAGTTTCGGGAGCAAGAACGCATGCGTTTCATTGGCGATCACTCGCACTGATCAGATGGCACACTCAGACGTCCACGTGTCACGTCCTGAACAAGCGTGGCCACACTGATGGATGCGGGGCTCTATGCGACAAAGGGGCTCTATGCGGCAGCAGAATGGATGCGAGGCTCCAATACAGCCCCGCACCCATCAGCGTGGCCACGTATATTCAGGACATGACATGCGGACGTGTGAGTGTGCCATCTGATTGGGGCGAGATGAAGGAGTTTCGGGAGCAAGAATGCATGCGTTTCATTGGCGATCACTCACACCAATCAGATGGCACACTCAGACGTCTACGTGTCACGTCCTGAACAAGTGTGGCCACGCTGATGGATGCGGGGCTCTATCTGATCGTCGCCACGCATGTTCAGGAGTTGTCACGTGGACATGTGAGTGTGCCATTTGATTGGGGCGAGTGGTCACCAACGAAACGGGACCCGCGAATGCAGCCCGAGAATGATGCGACACGCACTTCTAGATTGTGTCGTCACTTGAGATGTTTTGTTGAAGTGTTACTCGCTTGTCGTCAATTTGTTGTTTCTCTCATGAACTGCGATATAAGGATTTCAGTCGTATGTTGTCGAACAAGAGAACATGGTTTCTCACGAATCGTGTCTCTTCTGGATTGCACATGGACTTTCTTCTCGCCGAATAAATTTTTATTGCGCTCGGTTTGTTTATTCATTTTCCGCGTAAGTCGCGTCGTGCAGTTCGCTCGACGTTCGGTTCTGTATCCGTAAAATGTTCTCCACATTCGTCGAATTTTTCACATTTTTCGCCTGTCTTCCTCTCGCCGACATGAACAATTTTTTCTTAAATTTCTTTTGTGCCGTTTTATTAACGGTCACATTGCGAATTCCGAAATAGACAACACCATCCGCAAGATCTGCACATGTAGAGACAGAGAGCTAAAGACAGGCTCTCTCGCTGCGCATCCTCTCCTTGTCAACGTCTCTATCGATCTTAGTCTCCCTTCCATGTCTATGCGGGTTTTCTGCCTTTCTCCAATCTTTGTGTATCGCAGACAGTCGCTCAACCGATCTCAGGTTGGTCCCCCCCTAAGTGCAATCACAGATCAGTAGTCCGAAGACTGCTACAACAGATTCGAAGACACAGGAGGCGAACGTGAATTCAAATCTTTAAACCCTATCAAACGTCGCGTCAGCCGAACGCCGCGAGGAACCCTTCCCTTGACTTGGACATAGGACAGGACACGGAGCGATCAGATGCTCATAGGGTATTGTCGACGACGACATGTTTGACCAACCAGGAGGACGACAGCACACCCTGTCCATACCATCTTGTGGTGGCGCAACGACTGACGTATCCGAGCCATCCTTGTTAATATCGGTTGCATCCGAGTCACAACCCACTAAAACTCACGGGGCGACCACTAACCGAGGCACCTCGGCGAAGTTCGGATTAATCTGAACCACACTGACGGCAAATTTGGATTTGTCACATGCTCATACGGTATTTACGACGCCGCACGTTCCCATAAATGTGAACGACGAAATCACACGTTGTCAAAAGACCGTTCCGTCTCGGATTAATCCGAACCACTCCTCCGACAGGATAGGGTCCACCCTTTGCTCACAGGTCATTGAGGAAAACACGCCGTGCCGATGTCCTCCTCTTGTGGTCGGCCTAATTCGGATGCATCCGAGTCACAACGTCGGTCTTTCGACTCTGCCCAGTTCGGATGTGTCCGAACTACCACGCTGTCTTCGTCTTCTAGAAAGCTGCCTCGGATTCATGCAACTAAAACGAGTCGAGATGGTTACGCTCCATGGAAGAAAGACGAGCTAGAAACTTGTGCTGCGACTACAGCAAACGTGTCTGTTGTTTGGATTGAGCGAGCAACAACCAACTAAAACTCACGACGACGACGATATCCCCCGTGATGATGCACAGATTATAATGACACACTACGACAATCGCGGGGAGGTCCGCTGTGTGGTGGAGCGACAACAAAGCGAAGCGCCTCGGCGAAGTCGGATTAATCCGAACCACACCGGTGGCATTTTCAGATTTACCACATGCGCAGAGGGTATTGACGACGTCGCACGGTCTGATAAACTTGTACGTCGAAAGCACACGGTGTCGGCGCAGCCTGTCGTGGTCGCACGTATCGGGACAGCCTCTGACGAAATCGGATAAATCCGAGCCACACCCGTCTTAAACACTCAAGGACGAAGACACACCGTGCGAAATTCGGTTGGACCCGACGACAGTTGGGGAATAACGGAAGCTTGGATGGCTGGATGGGCGTTTACAGACCGTGGTGTCCATCCGCCTGTCCCCGTCTCAGATTAATCCGAGCCACATTTGCGAAGTTCAGGTTCAACCGAACCGAACCTCCGGCAGGATAGGGTTAACCCAGTGCTCGCAGGTCGGTGACGAAAACACGTGCTGTAGATGACCTCTTGTGGACGACCGTCTCTGGACCGCGCTGTTCGAATTCAGATGCATCCGAGTCACAACCGTTACCGACTCAGAAGGACAAGAAAACTCGAGTTCGGTTTCGTACGGGCCGACAGGGGGAGGTCTAGACCGCTTTGGAGCTCGGATTCATCTGAACTACAACGGCGGACTTTACAATCCACTTGTCGACTTCGGATGACAACGTATTCGCCTTCGTCTGCCGTATCAGCGTTTTAGGGCCTTCTTGCGAGGTGTTGTTTTTCCCGGATCAGGTGCCTATGCGACATCGGTTTTTCGACTGCGCTTGCTTCGGATGTATCCGATCTATCCCACGGTCTTCGTTTTCGAGCATTCGTTCTCTTAAGGGCAGTGTGACGAGGATGACTGACGATGTCTCGGATTCATCCGAAACGTGCACGCTTGTGGACCACTGTCGTTTAACTATGACTGAACTTCGTTCTTTTGGAGTCCGGGCGACCGATAACAGAATACGTGTCGTGGGTCGTGGTTGATGTTGGGACGTGCTGACTGTTCTGAGTGAATGTGGGTTCATTTCCTCCGTGTGTTTTAGGGAATGGCTTCACACGGACGAGGCCGCTCCGCTGGTGGTTCCGCCCCGCACGGAGAGGAGCGTCGAGGGACGACGTCGTCGTCGGCAAGGGGAACGAGTCGGGGAGTTGGAGGTGGGGAGGAAGAACGACGTGCTCAAAACTTTTGGTGCGACTACAGCAAACGTGTCTGGTATTTGGACTGGGCGAGCCAGGACGGCTCTAACCCGTTGCAACCACCGTGCGGGCCGCTCTTGTTCGTCGGCGTTCGCGCCGACAGAACGCGTCTCGCAGGGTCCATCGTCCAGTGGGTCGACGATGGCGAATACAATTTCAAGTTTACGTTGAAGAAGCATTACAAAAGTGATGGTTCTGTCGACGACATCGCAAAGGGATGCAAGGTTGTCGGGAGGATGTTCGGCGGGTACGGCCGTCGTGCGATGTCTTTGCCTCACTTCTCCCGCTAGCGCCGGGGCACGACGAGGCCGTTCACGTCACAGACTTCCTCGAGGTCTGGGCGAGTGGTACCTCTGTCAGTGTTGTGGACGTCGGACCTGGAACATCGATCAGTGGTCCTGTTCGGTTCGCAGGAGGAGAGTGCTCTGAAAGGGAGATGGGAGGTCAGGGTGGCCTGCTAGCTACGCCTCCTGATCAAGAGGTCGGCATGTCAGACGACTCGGAGGACGACCATCCGCGTGCTCCTTTGAAACCGGGCTTGCATGTATCTCGCCGCCACGGTTTGCTTGGGGAGTCGACGCCACATGGAGGTGGCGATGGCGAACGGTTGCGACAGGGCTCAGAATCGACGACTCCTCGTTGTCTGGTCGAAAGGATCGATTCGTTCGTTCGTGGCATGCAGGTGGCCGAGGTTTCGCCTGGAGATCGAGTGGGTGGTGCGCAGGCTCGAGAGGTGCGTTGGTCAGATGGGACGACTCGCCGGGTCCGACCAGCGCCGGGGGAACTGCAGACGGAGTTGAGCCAGGAACGAGAAGCAAGTGAGAACGTCGCCGGTGAGGAGGAGGTGTCCAAGCAGGGGCTGTTCCGTGAGAGATCGGCTGAAAATACTCAGTCGGGAGGCAAGCACAACTTGTCGGATGAGGAAGAGCGAGAGGGACTAGGTGCTCTGAAAAGGCAGAGAAAGGTAGGAGGGAGTGCTCGGACGCCAACAACACGAGAGGGCGGTTCCGTTGACAAGAGGAAAAGGGTTGGAGGTGGGGATGAAACGCCAAAAGACTCGTCGACACAGCGAAGAACCGGTGAGTCTCTTGGGAAAAGGGCGAAATCATCGAGGGGGAAGAAAGCAGACGAGGGCGATAGCGGGGAGGGGGATGACGACGTGGAGATTAACCTCAACGCCTTTAACCTCGACAATGCGTTGTTCCTCGAGATGCAGACAGGGGTGCAGAAGGACGTCGTGTTGCACATCCATCCCGAAAGAATATTAGCTATTCCTGACTGGGAAGACGCGTACAACCACCGATCCTTGGACGAGTTCCTCGTTGATACCATCGCGTCAGCTATGATCGACTGCTACGAACGTAAAGACATGAGATACACGAAGCCCATTTTCGTTCTCACTCCGATCGTCGCGCCTCCAGAGAACGGTGAGCCTGCTGTGCGCGTGCTGCCTGCTGACTTCGACAGCTCACACCCGGAGAGATACCGGTATTATCCTGTGTGTGGACAGCATAATGCGAGGGCGGCGATGATGGTGAAAGACCATCCCGTGTTTGATTACTACAACTTCTGTAAATGGCCGTTCAGACCGATCTACTTCCCTGACGACGAGTTCGACGGCTACGCCCATATCAGCTGCGAAGACAACATGAAAGACAAGAAGAATCCACCGCGCTTGCAGGTTTTATCTATGCGGGACATTCGCAATATCTGAAAAATTAAGGGCAAACCGCGTGTGGTGCTCAACAATGCCTCGAAGAAACAGGACGAGGTGCGAAACTGGGTGCGGTTCATGGCGTTGGCAATAAAGAAGACGCCGTACACGCCTATCTGGAACCTGTCAACGGAAGCAAAGAAGAGAAAGGAATGGGCTGAGAAACTTCGATACTACCTCCCGCTGGCCATGGCAGATGACTCCGTCTTCGCTTTGGGGTTGAAGTTCTATGAGGAGTGGTCGAAAGGGAAACTCCTTGCTTCCGACGGCCGGCGTTGGACTGAAAAGCCGCCCACCCATGAGGAGGTGGCCAAGCCAGGACTCTCCACTGTGACTGATAGCCAGGGGCTGAAGAAACACGTGGTACGTGAAGGTGGACGACCCGTCGTTGAAAAAGGGCAGGGGGAAGCCAAAGAAAGGTGCGGAGGAGAAAACTTTCTACGTCCAAGTTCCAGAGCCGGATGTCCACTCCTGGAAGGAATTGGTGGACTTGACGGACCGCGAGAAGAAAAGGCTGTTGAACGGCGTCTTGAACCTTAACGTCGTGTGGGTTCAAACGAGTAGCAAAAAGTTGGCCGAGCAGGGGAAGTTCAGTGTCAAGGAGATGGTCGACATAATAAAAATGGACCGGATTATGCTGAGGCTGTGGCACTACGTGGAGTTCGAGTACGAGGAAATGGATAAGCGGGAGTGGAATGCCAACTCCACGTTCTTCAGGTCCAAGAAGCAAYTGTTCGAAGAGTTYAAGGACAGAKGTCTCGACGACAAGCTTTGGAAYGAGAGCAGGAAATTTTTCACGGACACCACATACGTCAACAAGTGCCCTCAGTTTCTCGGGTGTCAACACGACAACAACATCAAGAGAACGGCGGCCCTCGTCAACGACCAGCATTTCCCGACGGAGTGGAAGCGTGTCGTCCTTTCGGTGATCACTGGAGATCGCGCCAAAGGCAAAAAAAGCCCTTGGGGCGTTGATGAATGCATCAACATTATGTGGACAAGGACAAGCGCCTTGACGACGCTGGCCCAGTTTAACGTCGACCCGTTGAGTGCCATAGATCATAAGCAGGCACTGGGAAAACTAGGGCATCAGCTACGCTCCCACACTTGCGTGCTCGACTTGTACGGTGCTGTGGACCGTGCGGAATGGGACTCTGGGGCATTCGCATCTCTGAGTGAGTTGCTGGGCTTCGTTTGTCAGGACTACTGGACATTGGTGGTATTCGTCCCCTGCCTGTGGAACCTCTCCTTCATGACATGTTTGTCTGCGCTTGGGGCTACCCGATGCTACACGGGGAAGTGGGTTCGGAAGACGACATCGAAGAAGACGCATCAGTTCGGAAACAGCGTCTGGGAGGAGCATGCACATCCTTTTCAAAGGCGAGGATCCTCGGTTACTGACTCACCCGGTGTACGAGGGAGCTGTCGCTGAAGACGACGACGCCGCTCTCCGGAGGAAACAGAAAGTGACACCCACGGATGTGGAGGAGAAGTCTTTCAAGTCTTTGACTTTCGCGGACATCGGAAACCTGACCCAGAGGGGGGCTCTGTACAAGGACGGCGAGTGGAATCCGAATCAATTGTGCAATCAACTTTTTTTCTTTTGTGGTGTGGCGGATGCCGTGCTGTTCTTGGGCAAGCCGCACGCGCTGGTGGTGTGGAATCTGCTTCAGCAGGGAAGGCAGGTCTTGGTCGTGGATGGGGACACAACGCAGCTCGAATACACCGTGCAGTATGTCACCCATGAAGTGTCGTTCAAGGCTTACCCATGCGATTTCCACCATGTCGTGGTCAAGCCCGTTTATGACCCGAACAAGGACATGTTCTTCAAGTTGACTCCGAAGAAAAGGCGCCAGGTCTACTCCTTCCTTTACGGCGAACAACCAAGGTTGAGATTTGACCCGCAGTACGTGGTGCGGAAGGAAGTCGCCATTGCGGTCCTCTTGGGCTACCACGGAGCGAGTCGGGCCGGCGTTGTGAGCTTCATTAAGAGGCTGGAATATGTCTTTTTTAACGAGGATGTTGTCGATCCGGCCGACTTCACTTTGGATAAGTACAAGCTGGCATTCGGTGAGGAGGACGACTTCAATATCGAGACTGAGCAGAAGGAGAGCGTTGAGGACGACCTCTTCGATTTGGACGGGCAATTGGTCATCTTCAACGCCCAAGTTTCTGAGTCGCCATCAGTATGCAAACCGGGGACACCTCTCGCTACACCTACCTCGGGCGGTCCCACGCCCGTGTCCTCCTCAGCGCCTGTCAAGA